GGGGGGGGGGTAAGACTGCCGCGGGGGGCAAGGCGAAGGTCTTTTACACGGCCATCGGATTTGGGCCCTCTGATGAGAACAAACTGAGCCTTAAGGTGCCCGCACTGCCGGGCGGGCTCCAGCCACCGCGCCACCCGACGTACACCTGCGCTTGTTGTTGTTGTTGTTGTTGTTGAGGGACAGGGTGGGGTCAGAACTCTCCATGCGACTAGGGGCGAGAAAACAACAGTAGAGAAACATTTCCAGAATGTTGTCAAAGACGAAGGTCACCTCGGTTGGACGTTTCACGGCACTTATGTGTATTGTGTAATTTAAAAAAATCACTTTATTATGACTTAATACACATGTCACTGCTGTGCTATCTCCCTGCTCTTTCCGTTTCTCTCAGTCCAAGTTCCGCAGCATCTCCTTGAGCTTGGAGCGCGCGACCTTCCTGCTCATGCCGGCCCTCGGCAGGCTGTCCAGGAAGTAGACGCCGCCGCGCAGACGGTGGGCGTCGGACAGGCGCTCGGCCACCGCGGCCCGCAGCGCGCCCTCGGTCACGTCCTCCCCGGCCGCGCCGTCCGCGCGCGACACGAAGGCGGCGGGGAGGTCGTCGCAGGACACGCCCTCGCCGACCCTGCGGCCCAGGACGCACGCCTCCCTGACGCCCGGGTGCTGCAGCAGCACGGCCTCCACCTCGGAGGGCGAAACCTGAGAACAACGGGCTATCCAAATAACAACCACCAAACAAACACACACACACACACTCACACACACACACACACACAAAAAAAACAAAAAAAAAAAATAGCAAGAATTTTGTTATCAAAATGTGGCACTCAATCGACGAAGCTCAACCTCAAAGTAGCTCACTTGCACAGATCAGAGTTCGCAGACAGACGGTCAGGCTATATCCCTCTTCAACTGACCTTCGTCCCTTTGTATGTCAGCATCTCGACGGAGCGCTCTACAAAGAAGTAGTGGCCGTCGGCGTCCTCGTAGACCAGGTCGCCCGTCTTGTAGAAGCCGTGCTCGTCGAAGGCCCTCGCCGTCTCCGCGGGGTTGCCGAGGTAGCCGAGCATGACGGTCTTGGAGCGGACGCGCACCTCGCCGACGGCGTGCTTGACCGCGGCCGGGACGTCCTCGCCCGTGTCGACGTCCACCAGCTGCCGACACATGGCTAATTAGCTGAGAGGGATTAGTTTCATAGCTTATTTTTAGCCACATAGCTTATTTTTAGCTACATAACTACTTTTGACCATTTAGCTAATTTTTAGCTACATAACTACTTTTGACCATTTGGCTAATTTTAGCTACATAACTACTTTTCTCCATTTAGCTAATTTTTTAGCTACATAACTACGTTTGACTAATTAGCTAATTTTTAGCTACAGCTACATAATTCCTTTTGACCACTTAGCTAATTTTTAGCTTTATAGCTAATTTTTAGTCACACAACTAACTTTGAGCCACATAGCTACTTTTCTAGCTGCGTGGCTAATTTTTAGCTACATAGGTGAATAATTACCGAGATAATTACTTATCCCACATTAGCTAAATGGTTTGGCTACTTGTGGACTTTACCCTGAGCTCGACGCCGGCCCCCAGGGTGCCGAGCGCTCCGGGCGGGGATGGTTTGGAGGCGGACCACATGAACACGCGTGAGGTTTCTGTACAGCCGTACTTCTGGAGAACCCTGCAGTGGAGGTGACGCTCCAGAGCGGCGTGTAGCTCGGCGTCACAAGCGGATCCGAAAATGTGGAGCACTTCGAGCGAGCTGAGGTCGTAGCGGTGTTTGCATTTTTCCTTGTAAATCAATAGCTCCCGGACCACGGAGGGGACAGTGCCCATGCCTCTGACCTGGAGGTGTAAGCAACATTTTGTGTTATTACGTTTTCATACGCACGGGCCCATTTTTAACTCTGGAAAAACGAGTGTGTGAATGTCGGAATTCACACACTTCTGCCTCCACTGTGTACGGATGGCGTCACACACCTACAAGTGTGAGACATTCACACACTAGGAGTTTCCGAGGCTCCTATACCTTGAACCTTTCGATGGCGGACAAGATGGTGGGACTGTCCGAGAGGGTTGTGAACACCCTGGCTGCACCGCCCTTCAGGCCCCACAGTAACGCCCTCCAGGGGCTGATCCCGGTGGGGGGAATGCAGGCCAAGTACCTGCCGCTCCCGGCCTCTGTCGACTCAGTCTCACCAGACGAGCTGCAGGGGAAAGACTTTCCGTTCATACTCTGATATCGGCTCTTTTAACGAAACTGTATGTTCTCAAGCGTGCTACTACAGCCACATTCACGGCCGAGCACTCACTAGAAGACGCCCAGGTTGTCCGGCACCAGGACTGCCTTGGGCAGCCCCGTCGAGCCCGACGAGTACAGGATCAAGGACGCCTGCCGGCCCGGGCCGGCCACGTCCACGGCGCGGTAGGTGCACGGGTCGGGGCGCGGCTCGGCGCCCTCGCCCAGCCGCAGCACGCCGAGGAACGTCTCGACGGCCTGCTCGGGGGGCTCGCCGCTCAGGACGACGTGCCTGGCGTCCGGGTAGGCGTCCATCGCCGTGCGCAGGCGGTCGCGCTCGGACACCACCGCCTTGGGTCGCACCAGCTCGAGCGAGTGCCGCATCTCGGCTGCAGAGGGATTTTATTACGTCTTTGAACTGGTCTTTTGAAGTTTTTCCTCTTCACGTTTTGCAAACTAGTGAGGATAGAGGCAGGCAGACGAACCTAGGTCCCCGGAAGGGTCGACGTAGGCGACGCGCAGGCCGGCGCAGACAGCCCCCAGCATAGCCGCGACCTGCTGGTGGTAGTTCCTGGAGACGACGGCCACCACGTCCCCGGGGACCAGCCCCATGGCCTTGTAGCCCTCGGCGGCGTACGTCGTCAGCACCAGCAGCTCGTGGAACGACATGGATGTGCCGAGGTGGGCGTCGATCTGCAACACGCCAACACACAAAGTCTTTTGTATCCTTCCGTAGCGGTGTGCGAACGTCGTCGCACAGGTTTCCAGATTTATATTTCCTCCTAGGAGATAAAAATTAATCATTTTTTGCCTGAAAACCCTTTTTTTTTTCTGAAAAATCTATTTCTTCTCTGTAATTTTTTTTTTCGGAAAAACTACGTCTGGTTTTTCCCGCTTACCAGCGCCGTCCGGGTCTGGTGCTCGCGGAGCCAGTGCAGTATCGCGTTGCCGAGAGAGAGTGCTGGGTCAGGGGTCGCCTCCGGGCCCCGGCGGACCTCGAGCTTGCCGCCGGCGGGGGCCTTGGCCGCGGCGGCGGCGCAGGTCGTCTCCTCGATCATCGTGCTGGCTCTATGGTCACCGACGAGGGCAGTCTGCAGGGACTCTCGGGAAACGGCTTGCGGAATCAAAACAAAAAAATTAAAAAAAATAAACTTTACATCTTTAGCGAAATCCCACGCCCCGCCCCGCGCCTTGTGCGTCTTTCCAGGAGTGAATTAGTGCCGTTTCGTTAAAAGCCAGAGGTGTAAAAAGTTTTAATACGCGCCGAAGACCCCGTCGTCCGCGCGCCGCGTGTCGAGTTTATCGCTGTCAAGTTGGGGCAACACCTAATTCCCATCCCTCCCCTCCCC